TTATACAGAGATCTGCTGAGTCAAATCGCGCTTACCAACCACGTAACTCTCTACATGGCTTTAATATGTATGGCAATTCTCATAGTCACGAAGGAATACATCAACCCCCTTATTGGACGGCACTGCAGGCTAAAAATTCCTGTACCTGCAGAAATCATGGTGGTACTCATCACTCGCTCGCAACATTTTTTTAATAAATGATTCAAAGTGTCACAGATAGTACTTGGTATGCTTGCCGACAGTCTGTTCAGCCTAAACCAGCACTACGGCGTTGCGGTTGTTGGACCAATTCCAGTTGGGTAAGGCTATGCACGAATTTTTTAATACTCTGTGCTCTTACAACAGCAGTTAGGTTCTTCAATGACCACATCGATATGCAAATCAGGCAGGTGAAAAAATGAAAGTTTACTACATATGGATCTCCTTTCTAAATCCAGTATGAATTCCCAACTGCCTCATTGGTCATTCGCTGGTAATCGTCATTTGGAGCCGGGAGGGAATGGGGGTGGGGCGCAATACTGAAGTCTACATGAACAGAAGCATCATGCGTTCGAGGATTAAAAAAATATGCAGCTGGAGAGGAGGCCCGTTCTTTGGTGCTCATATCTCTCAAACCCACATTTGGGTACATGCAGGCTGGCTGGAACAGTTTTTCAGATCATGTGCTATCCGGACGAATTCATACAATATGTTCCCGTTTATTGGACTTTAGGTAATGACGCTTGCATCCAAGTGCTGCATAGTTTATTTGTTAAACATGCTAACGATTATGAAGAATTATAGTCAGTCGATTTCGTACCAGTCAGCTCCGTTATGCGAGTTGAATTGTGAGGCACGATATGAGAGAATCATTTAGCCATAATCCGTCTTTTGGCTCTTTGTCACTGACTTTGAAAACAAGAACAGTTTTAGTCTCGTTTCTGATGTCTGCAGAACGTCGTGTTCAAATCTGCACAACGTTGCATTTTGGTGTGGATAAAGAGAGACTGGCTATCGAGAGCATGGTGCAGAGTTCCAGAGTAGGTACTCAGCATAACAGAGAGTACGTAAGATAGCGTAATTACTGGCGTCAAAATCTAAGTTTTGAATTCAGTTTGGTTCCGGATCAAACGCAGCTAGGGCTATGTGGAGTATTCTCTCCCCTGTATTTCAGTGTAGTATATCCAACACCCGTAGGTGGTGATAAAAGACCATTAATAAGACGTTAAGATATTCTGAGAAATACTTGGCAGAAGTTGACTATTCTGCTGGCATTTTTTACGGGCAACAGTAATACAGGCCATTTGCTCGCTAATTGGGACTGTTTACCGGTACTGCGAAAGCGAGTCTCCAGGCAAAGGTGCTAAGGATCGCAGAAGAAACGATGCAGGCAAAGATGCAACACGGTATCAATGCCAATGCAGAAAAGTGGTAAACTTTCAATATCTCAGAGCCGTCACCTCGAATGATGCTAACGATGATCAAGACGTAACCATGAGGATCGCAGTGACTTCCCTCACCCTCAGCGGTCCATTGGAATAGCACAACTGTTTCCACCAAGCCTCATCTTGACAATGCTACTGTCGGATCATTTTGTCGCACGAACTAGAAATGGCTGCTCTAATAAGTACATGAACCCTGACTGAACAGCCACCGACGACGTCAGTTACGACGCGTTCTGGAGATCAGTTGGTTTGTCGGCATCAGGAACGACCTGATTTAGAGATGGTTGATATTAGAACGTGAGTGAT